CTGATCTAAATATTGTGGAACACGTAATGCGTAATGTGGTGGGGCACCATCCTGTTGGAACGTCAACCTATTTGCAATGTACCGCCCATCATTCTGATTTTCAATTATGGCTGTTAATGCAGGATCTATGGTGTCTTCCAGTAATTCCGAATACATTTCGCCGGTCAAATTTCCAGGTAAGAAAAAAGGACCAACTAAATGACCGCCAAAAATACCAGCCCAAACATTGGTGCATGGCTGCTGTGTATGAACCTTATGATAAATTCTGTGATTAGAATCGGACCAATATTGACAGTTACGACGATTTACTACGCCATTTAAGATAAAGGAACATTCGTCCGAAAAGCAAGTGTTGAATAGAAAATGTTCATCGTTTATAATTCGTTCACTCATATCTTCACAAAATTTTAATCGCCGATCAAAATCGTCTTCAGTAAATTCTTGTACCAGGTGAATTTTATACGGATGAAAACTACGGGCCTTTAGAATCTGTTGGACACGACGACGACTAACACCACACGCAGTCTCCAATTTGCGGATACTTAACGTAGGATCTAAATAAACTTGCCTTAAACCCCCACTGCTATTGCTTCGTTCCTTATGGGATTTTCAATGTTGCGTTTTGTATTGGCGACTGACCCAGTTTCCCTAAAGTTAGCTACAAGTTCTAGAACATATTTTCGATGCACCTTACTGTTCTCATGTCGCTCATTAAATATTTCTGCTGTTCTATTAGCGCACTGATTATTGCCGAAAAATATTTCGATAATTTCAACTCTTTCTGCTGTGGAATATACCATGGTTAATTTATGTAATAAAGCGTTACAAGTTATTTTAGGAACAAAGGTTGGTCAAATCAATCGCAAACTATGTACTAAATTCCTATTTAAAATAAGTACGAGATATTTCCTTATCTTTCTTCGAGAAATAACTTTTTGGCCACAAAAAACCCTCCAATAGCTATTTTCAACAGCAAAATGATAAACAAATCATGGGCGTACTTATTAAGTAAATTCTTTTAGTCAAATTTCTTCTGAAAGTAGTACAAACTAATCTGATGTACCTATTAAAGTCTACTTTAAGCTTTAAATCAACAAATCTTCAAAGCTAGTGAATTGAAGCTCATGTATTTTACATCATTACAAAGGGAATTGAAATATCTTTAAAATAAGGTATCACTTGACCCCCCTTTCCATTAAGATTTTAGGGTTGCCGTCACCCCCGCCCAGGGAGCTGCACGTGTTAACGTGATTTTTTCCCAAGCTTGTGTCCCCCTCAAATCGACAAAATCGACGGGTCTGAGCGTTTTCCCAAAAAAAAAATGAGCTGCCAGTAAATGCGTCTGTTTCGTTTTCGATGCGCCACCCTGTATATTTTCTATACCGTTGTATACATTGTATATGCATTTTCTGCTTCAAAATGCAGACAACTGAAGTATATCACTGGTTCAGAATGTTGGTCTTTTTCAACATGTATTGAAATAAATATTTGTTTATCTAGTTTGTCTTTATTTTATTTTTACAAATACAATGCAGTCTAGGAAAAAACACGTAGTATTTTTTATTTGGAAGAAATAATGCTTCTGATCTCCGTCACTGGTATACGTTTATTTTTGGTTAAGACATTTGAATGTGGACAGTACCTAGCTAAAAACAAATACCAAATTTTAGTTCATTTCAGTTGAGGGTTTTATATATATATTATAAAAATGCTTTTCATTTTTAAACTTCAACACCCCGTATCTTTTTAATGAAGCGCTGGAGGAGGAAATTTTACGTAGAAGACCCCTCTTATAATGCGCTCCTGAATATGATGTTTCATTTTTGGTCACGACTTGTGAAACACCCTGTATAGCACCTAACGTGACCAAGTATATTCCAATATTCAGTGGATGCATATTAAATAATACCTATTTCTAACATTAACTTTTTTTGGCTGGAATAGGCATATTAAATATGGGCACATCTGCCGATGGAATGACTAAGCGAAAACGTGAAATCTTGTTATGTAGCGCCTAAGTGGAGTAGAGAAGTTATTTGTAACACACGGCTAGTCAATTTAATGTAATCAAATTAAGACCTCTGAACGTGGCGCGTTTCTCTTTAATATTCCAGCGCCAACTTAATTCCCGATGATAATCAATTTTCGAAACGCCTCATTAATAACAAAAAGTTGCGAGAAAGGTGATTGATTTTTTCCTCAATTAGAGATTTTTTTACGACTCAATTAGATTTAAAACGACTGTGTTTCAAGCATATAATCTCAGCTATACGTGTCGTTTTGCTGCACAGAGAGCAAATATGTTCAACCTCTTATGCATGTTAGGAATGTCCAGTAATTATTTATACTAAGTGACATATAAATCCGAACACCCAGTTTAAATGGTTTTACTTTAATAAAATTTGGTGAATGTATTTATCTTACTGTAAATAACAAGTGAAAAAATTTTCAGCCTTATCAGTTGGACATTCCGGTTTTTATACTGCTTTTTTTAATTCACTAACGCTCTAAAAATGAATATTTCAGCCGCAGTAAAGAATCAACGTTGGCGGATTTTGGTTCTTGACATCCTTTACGATCGGTTACGATGCCTAGAGTACGGAGACCTGTACGATTTCGTCAACTTAGTGAGTTTGATAGTGGCCGTATAGTAGGACTTCGGGAAGTTGGACTTTCTTTTCGGGCAATTGCAGTTAGAGTGCAAAGAAGTGTAGACACTGTGGTTATGTGTTGTCAGGCATGGCTTCGAGAAGGCCGTACGCAAAGAGCAAGGGGCACTGGACGCCGCCGTAGAACAACAGACCGTGAAGATCGCCGCCTAAGATTATTGGCCTTAAGGGACCGTTTCTCCACTACCAGGTCCATTGCAAATGAATGGTTTGCACATCACGGAAGACCTATTGGCGTGCGAAGTGTTTACCGACGAATGAGATGTTTTGGCTTGTTTTCATACCCGGCACACTGGGTCCTCCCTTTAACTCGAGAACACCGACGTAATCGCCAGGAGTGATGCAGACAACGGTCACTCTGGGATCAGGAATGGAACAGTATTGTCTTTAGTGACGTGTCTCGATTTTGTTTGGCCATGCACGATGGTCGTGCCAGGGTTAGAAGGCGACGTGGTGAAAGGAGGAATCCACAGTTTTGGGTTGAAAGACATGTTCATCACACTGTTGGAGTTATGGTTTGGGGTGCTATAGCTTATGCTTCCAGGTCACCTTTAATCTTCATCAGAGGTAACATGAACGTGCAGCATTATATCCACGAAGTTCTAGAACCCCATCTTTTACCCTATCTTGACACCCTGGCAGATCCAGCTTTCCAACAAGATAATGCCCGACCACATGTTGCAAGAGTCACAATAGACTTCTTTCAACATAATGATGTCACATTGTTACCATGGCCACCAAGATCTCCCGACTTATCCCCAATTGAGCGCGTGTGGGATATGATGGGTAGGAGATTGCTCAATTTGCAACGTCCTCCTCAGACTCTAGAAGCACTTCGAGAGGAGTTGGTGGTTGCCTGGAATGAGATACCACAGGAGGACATTGACCACCTGATCAAAAGCATGCCTAGGCGCGTTGGAGAATGCGTAGCACATCAGGGTGCATCCACACATTATTAAAGGTCAAAGGGCTTTCAAGCAGTGCAATCATTTTGAAATTTTTATCATTTACTTATTATCCTTCATTAAGTACGTATACAAAATTTTATTAAAATAAAACCATTTAAACTGGGTGTTCGGATTTATATGTCACTTAGTATAATATTTTGTCTCACCTGATAAATGTATCGGATCCAGTCTGCTCGCGCTTATATTAGTGGTGTTGATGAAAACATTGGACGCCTGAACCAGTTTTTGTTTTGGTTTTTGCAGCGGTCGGTCATCCGATCTGAATTGTTTGTATGCAATAAAAGTAGTCAAAATTAGTTTAATCTCGACATCAAGCTAACATCAGGAGTGGGTGATATCGTGCGTGCCAAAGACTGTGACATTGTTCTTATTTTGGATTGGTTTTACCGACGATAAATACAAAAAGAAAACACTGTTGTGGATGGACAATTATTGAAAGAGTTTAGTTTTCGCTGAAAAATGCCGGAAACTGAAAATAGTGCGAGAGTTGCTGGGTCTAGTGTAGCGTTAACTGGAAGTGAAGAACAAAATGGCAGCGATTCATTGTGATCGGTGTTGCTGAACAGACATTATTTTGAAAGCCCCCCTAGTCCATCCAAGGAGACACATCTACTGTAAGTACTCTCCGTACAGTACCAACCATAGTAAAATCCGAGGTAAGCGAACCATTTACATTTGCTTTGAGTTGCTTTGATCCAAATAAAAGTCAATTTTCATCACAAGAGTGGATAGATGAAGTAAACTGTGTCAGGAAAAATACAATATAGATGCGCAATAAAAGTACCCTAATTTCACACAGGAATGGTCCAATTTTTAGTGATTTTTTGGAATACACGTGATACTTACAACCTGACTTACATTCTTATGGAGTAGCAAGACTTAAAAGGTTTTAAGAAGTTCGTTGATATGTTTTGTTTTTTTTTCAAAATATAGTTTGTTTAACAATTCTTTTGTTAAATGTTGGACCATAGTTGTGGACTTTGTACACATCTATGATCCATAAGGATTTTATTGCAATAAGTCGATAGATAACTATTGTTGGAAGCATATTACCTAACAATAGTGTCAAGAAATGAAAATTATACTTGAAAAAAAATATTTGACTCACAAAAACTTCAAAACTCATTTATTTTTCATATTTATATAAAAATAGTCTCTCAATAGGTGCAACTCCTATGGTAATAAAATAATACAAATGTAAGATTAATACTAATTATGCTTTTGTAGCACAGCTTATCGAAGTGAAAAGTAAGTTAAAAAATTAAAATAAACAAAACGAAAACTGTTCTGCCTAATTAAGCAAGCTCAGAGCAGGGACACTGAAAGGATGACGTTTTGTTGAAACTTGGTTTGGAGCATTTACGGAAAGCTTAATTTCGTTTTTGGCATAAAATATGCAGTCCTCCTTTTCTGGCCATCTCCACAGTTTTCCACATTTTGCCATGCATTTTATAAAAGCTCCCTCACTTTCTACTTGTAACCACCTGCCCGGCCAGTAATCACCATCGTACTCAACTGAAACAAAATCATCTTTTTCGGGTAGAGAACTCTCGAAGCTTATGATGTTTGCGCCTGTAGTATTTTCAGATTTTTCTTCTTCCGTGAAGAACTAGAAGCCAAAGAAAACTTAGTACTAACTTCCTCTTCATCGCTGCTTGAACTGTGTATTATCGGTCTCTTTTTCTTGATGACTTCTCCAGAAGGTAAAAGCATATTCTCTATTTCCTCTTCGTCTCTGATTGGGCTATCTACTACCACTAAGCAAAAGTAAGGTCTTTACTTCATCAGCAGAAATGTTTTTTCCTGCTACTACATCAAGTTGTTTCTTTCTTTTTTTCTCCAGCTTCGTCAGCGGCTGTTTTTCTTTTATTTCCAATATATTGTTTAAAGGCATCCGAAACATGCACGGGAGTATTCTTGTCGACGGCAGGACAAGTATAACCTGGTAATTGGTCTAACACTTTAGTTGCACAAAGGGGAAACATGCCGGTTCTCAAAAAACCTGTCTTTAAATTTTTTAGCTTATTCAAAAGATAGGGAAACACATCCTTTGGTGTGGTTGGCATTCTCTGACCGTCTGGTATAGCTTTCCAGGAATCCAAAATTTGCCTCCAATGACACTTGAAAGGTCTGAAGAATGCAACATTCCAACGGCTGTGTAAGATGTGTTGAGTTAGGAAGAAGAGGAATGAATGCGATATTATTCTCTTCGCAGGCCGTTAGGACCTTTACACTTATATGAGAACTTAAGTTGTCTCCGATAAGAATTTTCCTTCGGTTCTGCTTTTCTAAAGTCGGTAGAAACACCCAGATTTTGAACGGTTATATCGGGAATTTGGGGGACCACCTGTTGTCCAGATGTCCCTCATTTTTTCCGCTTTGTAATTGACATAGGGCGGCAAGACTTCTCCAGCAGCATTTCCACATACCATAAGACTTACAACTGCTTTGGTCGAGTTTTTATTAGCTTCTGAATATTTGCACCCACGTTTTGAAGGAACTCTTTTTTCTAGGGTCATCGACCAAGTTTGTTTCACCATAATTATAGATACAGTCTGGGGGGACATCTTTAATTTCAGTTGCCAAATGCTCGAAGAAGTTATTTATTATTTCTGCATTGACCGCTGCACGAACTCTTTTGATATTGCTGCAGAATCTTTGAGAAAGTCCTTTTTATGGCGCTTTAAAAAGCAATCGGCCCAACGCCTTTCAGGGAAATTGTTCTTGAATGCATTTAATGTGGTACCACGGCTGTCGTCACAACACACCTCGGATCAAACAAAGTTAGGGGAAATCCATAATCGCACAGTAGAACAACGTTATCGACGAATGATTTTTCTTCTTCTGCAGAAAAAAACACTTACGACCTGTAACATGTACGTTGCTATTACGATGAGCCTTTAGCTTCAGTATTACCGTACTACGAGGTATCTTGTACTTTTCTGAAACAAAATAGTTCGTCATAATAAAAGGTATAAACATGGTAATAAAGTCTATAAACAAGAATTTTGTTTGCAACTATGGTCCATACCCTTTCACAGGTTAACTGGATATAACCCATTCATAAGCATGACTATGATCCAAAAAAATAGGTTGGACCATAGTTGAAATCAAAATGTAATTTTTTGATCTTTTTTTGCTCGAAAAGAAAAAACACGAGAAACTCAACAAGTAACTAGTTGCATATCCTGGTTGGTCCTTGTGATAACGTATGTGTAAAAAAATCAAATGTGATTTACAAACGCGCATTTGCCAGCAGAATATTTTTTGATAAACAAAAAGCTGCCGTCTAGTATTCAAAACGGTAACGCGTAACTTGAACTCTGCCGGATCGATAGTTTGTTCAGTTTTAATCATACCATCAACAAGTGAACACGGTCAATCGAAACGAGCGTGCAAGCTGTGTAAGTACAGTGTGTACAGTACGTGGCTCCACCTTCAAAAAAGCCAAGAGGACGTCCAGGCACAGTAGCTGTGCCTACTCAAGAGCGGCGAACACATGGAGCTTTGCACTTACCGGAAGCACTAGATGTTCCTTCAGCTCCTCGATGTAGAAATGCAGGTTGTACTCACAGATCTCGAATTAGGTGTACAGTTTGCAATATATACTAAGTGACATATAAATCCGAACACCCAGTTTAAATGGTTTTATTTTAACACAATTTTGTACAAGTACTTAATGAAGCATAATAAGTAAATGATAAAAATTTCAAAATGATTGCACTGCTTTAAAGCCCTTTGACCTTTAATAATGTGTGGATGCACCCTGCTGTGCTACGCATTCTCCAACGCGCCTAGGCATGCTTCTGATCAGGTAGTCAATGTCCACCTGTGGTATCTCATTCCAGGCAACCACCAACGCCTCTCGAAGTGCTTCTAGAGTCTGAGGAGGACGTTGCAAATTGAGCAATCTCCTACCCATCATATCCCACACGTGCTCAATTGGGGATAAGTCGGGAGATCTTGGTGGCCATGGCAACAATGTGACATCATTATGTTGAAAGAAGTCTATTGTGACTCTTGCAACATGAGTTCGGGCATTATCTTGTTGGAAAGTTGGATCTGCCAGGGTGTCAAGATAGGGTAAAAGATGGGGTTCTAGAACTTCGTGGATATAACGCTGCGCGTTCATGTTACCTCTGATAAAGATTAAAGGTGACCTGGAACCATAAGCTATAGCACCCCAAACCATAACTCCAACAGTGTAATGAACATGTCTTTCAACAAAAAACTGTGGATTCCTCCTTTCACCACGTCGCCTTCTAACCCTGGCAGGACCATCGTGCATGCCTAAACAAAATCGAGACTCGTCACTAAAGACAATACTGTTCCATTCCTGATCCTAGAGAGACCGTTGTCTGCACCACTCAAGGCGATTACGTCGGTGTTCTCGAGTTAAAGGGAGGACCCAGTGTGGCCGGTATGAAAACAAGCCAAAACTTCTCATTCGTCGGTAAACACTTCGCATGCCAATAGGTCTTCCGTGTTCTGCAAACCATTCATATGCAATGGACCTGGTAGTGGAGAAACGGTCCCTTAAGGCCAATAATCTTAGGCGGCGATCTTCACGGTCTGTTGTTTTACGGCGGCGTCCAGTGCCCCTTGCTCTAGGCATCGTAACCGATCGTAAAGGATGTCAAGAACCAAAATCCGCCAATGTTGATTCTTTACTGCGGCTGAAACATTCATTTTTAGAGCGTTAGTGAATTAAAAAAAAGCAGTATAAAAACCGGAATGTCCAACTGATAAGGCTGAAAATTTTTTCACTTGTTATTTACAGTAAGATAAATACATTCACCAACTTTTATTAAAATAAAACCATTTAAACTGGGTGTTCGGATTTATATGTCACTTAGTATATTTCTATATGTAAGCAAAGAAAGAAATTGTTTCAAAGAATTTCATAATTAAAATTATTTGGATTTTATTTTACTTGTATAACCTGTTGAAAATGTGTGTTAATTTTTTCAACAAAATTGAAAATGAATGTTTGCTTAGATTATTTATATGTAGCACTTTTACTGTTGGGTTCGTGAGTCCATTTGTGTACTTTTTTTATTGCCTCCATATAATACTTACGTCCTAGTTGGCACATATCTGCACCAACTGTTTGAGATTTATCTAGATGTTATTTTGAAAACTAAATAAATAAAACTGATTTTTGGATCCCCAATAACGCGTACGTACATAAAAGCCGGAGATTGTCCACGCATGTGCTTCTCAGGACTGACGAGGATATCGAGATAGTACTTATAAATAGGGACGCAGGAAAGTAAACGTCAATTTGACATAGACGCCATCTTTGTTTTCTGTCACCGACATGCCATTTTGTTAGTTGAATGTTTACCATTGATCGCTATGGAGTTGTATTTGATTGAAGACCGCATTAAAGTTATTCAAGAGCACTACAAAAATGGTGCAAAAATAAAAAACACGTTTCGCGCGCTTCATGAACATTTCGGTCGCAACAACCGCCCAAACGAAACAACCATCGGTCGTCTGGTGCGTAATTTCGAGGCAAGAGGTTCTGTGGCAAATCTGCCAGGCTCTGGCCGGCCAAGGAGCGTTCGCACACCGGAAAATATTGCTGTTGTGAAGGAGAGTGTGAGAGACGATCCGAAACAATCAACAACGCGTCGATCCCAAGAATTGGGCATTTCGAGAAGCACTTTGCTCCGCATTCTCCACAAGGATTTGAATGTACACGCCTACAAGATCCAACTGACGCTAGAGCTGCGTCGGGCCGACCATTTTTCGCGCCGAACGTTCTCAGATTGGCTCCTTGAACACCGTCAAATTGATGCCAATTTTTCATCAAAAATCATGTTCAGCGGCGAAGCGCATTTCACTTTGAATGGGACGGTAAACCAGCAAAACTGCCGCATCTGGGCGAACGAAAATCCCCGTGAGTATCAAGAGCAGCCGATGCATCCTCAAAAAGTGACTGTGTGGTGTGCATTGTGGTCAAAAGGCATCACCGGACCTTACTTTTTCGAAAATGCGGCCGGGGATGCCGTTACCGTGAATTCTGAGCGATATCACGTGATGATAGAGGACTATTTTTTTCCAACAAGACGGTGCAACATGCCACACAACCAACGTCAATATCCATCGATTGCAGTCCTTCTTCGGTGATCGCGTGATTCCGCCCAGAGGAAATGTGCCATGGCCACCAAGATCGTGCGATTTGACTCCCTTGGACTTCTTTTTATGGGATATTTGAAAAGCAAAGTCTACGTCAACAAACCAGCCACCCTCCAAGAACTCAAAAACAACATCATTGCCGCGATAAATGCCATAAAACCGACCATGTTGCAAAATGTCATTGAAAATTTCGACCATCGCGTGGACGTCTGTAAATCCAGTCGTGGTGAACATTTGAGCGATATTATTTTTCATACATAAATGGTATAAATGAACCTTCAAAATAAAGTAACCCAACTTGATTTGAATATCAATCTTTCTTGTTTTAATATGCGTTTACTTTCCTGCGTCCATTTTGGACAACCCCATATTATTAAACTAAAATAATTAAAAAATCGAAGTGCTTACCACCTGCAGCATCGAAAGTTTGCAGGTAAACAAACACCTTGTACTTGATGTATATCATACTAAGCATCAAAGCGAAATGAAGTCTCTTTACTAATAATAGGTGTCGCCATAATATGATTTACAAATGTTTTAAAAATATACTGCTTTGAGACCATAGTTGTGGGGCAGGACTATTTTTGTGTGAAATTACGGTAGTGTTTTGAGAGATAATTAGTTTAATTTCGAACTCAAGTTAACATGTGTACATTTTACATAAAAAACACGTCTCACTTCAAACTGAGTTTACATAGACTAGTTTCCATTATAGGTTTGCTCACCGTCTGAAATATTCGTGATTTTTCTGTTGAACATTCATTTATGCAACAACTATTTCTTTGTTATTTACTTTACTGCTAAAAAGTTTCCAAATAATTGACCACAAATCAAAACGATAACGCGGTTACTTCAATAACTTTTTATAATATTTTTATTTATTGTCAAAGCGGCGGTACAAGAAATTTCAATGATTCTGAAATTAATTCAAAAAAACTAAACGTTACTTATTTGTTTCGGTGAATAAAGATTATTACTAATCACTTTTCGAATTGCTGATTACGTCTGTTGCCTTAATAATCAATTCAGCTGGAACGACTGATATAACTGAAGGTGAACTATTTCTCTGAATGGTTTAAAAACGTTCACTGGCATTTTTACTCATATCAAATTATAGACGACCTTTTGAAAAACTGAGTTTGAGATCACAAGACACTTACGGTATTTTTCACGAGTGTACATGACGGTAGAACATCTGCTGATTATCTAGTGTTATTTCAAGATCCGTCAACGCCAGGTAGACAGATCCGTATTTGTTGTGATTTCTTGATCTACAAAAGTTCAATATATTATTAAGTTTATGACAAGTTCGCACAACTAACTGGATTTCAGTTACGTACACTGATGAGGGACAAGCTGGGAAGAACAATGCACCCGGGCTAGGACGGACACCAAGGATAAACGGCCAGAGAGGAAGAGAAGAAAAGAAGAAGCGAATAAGAGAAGAAGAAGAGAAGAATAAGAAGAAGAGAAGAATAAGAAGAAGAAAGAGAAGAATGAAGAAGAAGATAAGAAGAAGAATAAGAAGAAGAAGAAGAAGAAGAAGAAGAAGAAGAAGAAGAAGAAGCATAAGAATAAGAAGAATAAATAGAATAAGAAGAGAAGAAGAGAAGAATAATAATAAGAAGAAGATAAGAATAATAATAAGAATAATAATAAGATAATAAGTAATAATAATATAATAATAATAATAATAATAATAATAATAATAATAATAATAAGAAAATAATAATAATAAGAAAATACTAATATAATAAAATAATAATAATAAATAATAATAATAATAATATAATAATAATAATAATAATAATAATATAATA